AAATATCAAATGATGATATTTTTGATAAAGTAAAACCATATAAAAATATTCTTGAAGAAGATCTTTGGGATGATATTCTCAAAAAATTTATTACTCCAAATAGACAAATATCATCAACAATTCTTCCGCCACGTATAACACCAACATTTGATCCATTTCCTTCAAAAGTTATCAATGAAGATCATGCAGCAGAAATTGCATCATGGATTGATAAGAAAACTGAAGTGTATTCTGTAATGGATAATCCATATAAGTTTAAAATGCTTCTTCGTGGATCGAGAGATGGTTTTACTCCTCAATCATTTTGGAATTTATGTGACAAGCAAGCAAACACTGTTGTAGTAATAAAGGTTAAAGGAAGCAATGAAATTCTTGGTGGATATAATCCAATCCAATGGGTTAAATCAAGTGGTGAATTTATGAATTGCAATGATAGCTTTATCTTTTCATTGAAAAATGGTACTATTCAATCCTCTATTTTAAGTCGAGTAAAACCTTCAGAATCAAATTATGCAATTGGTTGTAATTCTAATTATGGACCATTTTTTGGTGCTGGTTATGATCTTATGATGTGTAATAATAATTTTGATCAAAATAATGGATGTGTTTGCACACATTGTTCATATGAAAAAGCAATTAGAAACAATAGTAATTACTTTTGTGCAGAGGAATATGAAGTATTTCAAATTCAGAAAAAGATGTCTAACAAGTAGTTTATTTAAATATATTTAATGTGTGATTAAAACAACGGTTATTAAATAATTTATGCGTAATATTACTATATACATATGTTATTATATCTAGAAGTGTACGTAATGATATAAATTATCTAAACTATTATATCTAATTATGAACATTTTGTTATAATTTAAAATTTAAAAAAAGTTCTATCGATTTGTGTACTATGCCCAGTTTTGTTTGTTAGAATTGAACTTTATTAAATTTAAGAACATAATTTATTAAAGTATTTTCTTTATTTGAGAACATTAAATAAATTTATATAAGAAAAATTTGTTTTTCTATATTGAGACCAGTAAAAATTTCTGAGAATATCAAAGTTTGAAAAATGTTCTTATGGGAACATAAAATTAAAATTGAATTTCACACACTGGTACTTATAAAATTAATTAATTCGAATGCGACCTTTAGTATTGTTCAAATTTCTTCATGACAAGTACTACATATAAAATAATTATGAAATAGTTGTTCATCTTCCATTTTGTAAAATGCTTCTTACTATAAAAAAACCACTTCCAAGTATTAATCCTTCCGTTATTTACCAAATTATCAACCTTTATAAGCATATACGTAGTAAAACTAAAATGTTAGACTGCCATTAAATAACGGGTTAAATTTAACCCAATTTAACCATAAACATCTATTTTTTTTTTAATTGCTATTAATCTCAAAAAAACATATTATTCTCGCTCGGATCTCTTTATTAGACATTATGAAGATACATGATGGGAGTAGTGCTCCACTTCATCACTTTTCTCTTCTGTTATAACATATTGTGCTCATTAATAACATTATGTCTACGTGATTGTAATCACGTGATGAAGAATAAATGAGGATAGAAATTATGGCCCACGCTTGTGGCGCATTCTCTTTTTTTTTTTTTTTTTTTTTTTGGTAGCGAGTTCGAGCCCACGCGATGGTGCGGCGCATTCAACTCATTACACATGACAACATTTTACTTTTACAAGTTCAAGCCCACGCTATGGTGCGGCACATTAACTACATTAACTTTATGAGTTCGAACCCACGCTGCGGTGCGGCGCATTCAACTCGTGTTAACATCTACTTCCATGAGTTCGTGCCCACGCTATGGTGTGGCGCATGTAACTCATGACAACATTTACTTCCATGAGTTCAAGCTCATTTGACATGACAATATTTACTTACTCCTAGCAACGAGCAGGTGCTGGGCAGTGTGTGAAATTCAATTTTGATTTAATGTTCTCACTGAGAACATTTTTCTAGTCCTCAACGTTCTCAAAAATTTTTTAATGTTCTCAATATAGAAAAATTAAATTTGTTTAATATCACAAAAAATTTATTTAATGTTCTCACATAGCGAATATATTTTAATGAATTATGTTCTTAAAATTTTATTAGTGTTCTCGGAGAACATTGAGAACATTGAATTTCGCACATTGGAAGTGTGCCAATTATAAATATCAAATTTATTATAGTTAGTTTTTAAAATATGTGTTTAAAAAAGTAGTTTAATATGTAATAATTATAGAATATAAAACTTTATTTGTAGATTATAAGACCTATAATTATAATTAGAATACGTGCAAAAAATAAGAATAATAATTAAATAATAAATAATATTAAATCACAATTTCAGTCGTTAATAAATAAATTTAAATAATCATTATATGAACATGAATAAAAATATTGTAATATTGAAAATATTAAATCTTGTGAATTTGCGCAATTTAACCATATTCAATACACATTTAAAATTCTTGTTTGAAGATCCATTTATTAAAGAAATCTAAACTCGCTGCTGGCTGGTCATGAGGTACCATATGACTTGCATTGAAAACTCTTAGGAATGTTAATCCTTTAAATGTTCTAAAATCTCCAGAATAATCACCAGCAGCTGTTATCCATTTAGTAAAATTAACGTTGTTAAAACCTGCGGAACCACTCCATGAAAGCGCTCTTGTCCATGCATCATTACCTGGAACAAAATGATTATTAATTAAAATTTCGGCTATAGTAAAGCACAAGTAATTTTATATAAATTCTCCTGATATAGTGAATTTACTCAAATTCTTAATAAAAAAATTTTTTTTAAAAAAAACCTTTATCAATGGAGCAGATCACTTCACTAAAGAGGGCTACTTGTAATTGCTCCAAGACTAGCGATGGGAATTTCTAATTATTAACAATTGTTAACAAATTGTTAACTATATAAATTTTTTAATTGTTAAATGATTTATATAATTAACAATTTATTAACAATTGTTAATAATTAGAAAATCTCATCGCTATCCAAGAGATTCTATATTTTATATAAATTTAGTAACAAGTACTTACCAAACCAATTACAAAGATAGTCAGCATCACCTATAAAAAATTTTTCATGATTAATTAAATAGAAAAATATTAAACAAAACTAGTATATTAATAAATTACCAGTATATACTAATACTCGAATATTGCCATCCAAGAGCGCTGGAATGTATGTATCGAAGGGAAGCATCCTAAATTAACAATTATATATATATATATTAAAAGATTTAGATCAATTTAAATTAATTTACATTAATTAATTAATTTAGATTACTTACCAATCACTAGACATAATGAAGTCGACATTAATATTATTGTTACATAGTTGAAAGCTTAACGAAGAATTAATTCCCAATTCGTTCTTAACGGCTGCACTATTAGCATACTCTATGATGTCTATGAAATCTGGATAACACAAAATGCCACTACATTGTTGTCTTATATCCAAAATATTTCTACCAGTGTTTTCAACAGGTATAATCAATGTATCATAACAATACTCTTTAGCAAATACGCAATCTTTTGGAGCTTTTGTATTATAACATGTTTGAATCAAGTTAGCACATTGAGTAGAATTATCTATCATCTGACTACACGTGGAATTATCAAATAATGATCCATAAGATGAATCACAAGCCATGGTTGGAAAAGATTTGAATTGCACTAGAGGGGTTACTAGACCATTTCCAATCAAGATAGAATCAAGATTGATACGAGTACGATTCGTTGAGGTACTATTCTTATTAGATTGGATTATAGAGGCTAAGGCGGGTGCGTAATGTCCTCCATATCTGTTATTTAATATATACAAAAAGTTTTAGTTAATTTGTAATTCTATATTGACAATATTAACCTATTAACAAAGTTAACAGTATTAATGCTTACGATTCACTAGCAATATGGAAAGTTAAATTAGAATATTGAGGATGCTTTCGGAAAAACATTTGTAAAAATGTGTATATATCTTTTGCATCGGTTAAAGTATCAGATACATAATCACCATAAGAATACCCTGAATTAACTGGCTATAAAGATAGTTTTATATTACAGTTTTGTATTATGTAAATAATTACACAAAATACATAGTGTTAAAGATAGCAAAAAAATATTTTTCATACTTGATCCAAGAAAATAACACTAGCATTGTTATTAAATGAGTACTGATTAAGAGATGTACTATTTCCTCCTGAATTAACAGAGCAAGGCCCCAGTTCAAAGTATAGAGAATTCATAGCAGAGCATCTATTATGTATAATTAAAATTTAATTAGCTGTTAATGATGAATAACAATATCAGGAAGTATGTAACTCAAAATTTTCGGGTCAATGACAAAGTATTAATTTTGGCTGATGCTATTTTAAGTGGGACGGATCTCAGCACGAGGTGTCGTATCTAAAGCTATCATCTATCTGAAGTTGCAACTTTAGATATATAAAGTTGATCTGACTAAAATTAAGCCCCTGAAATTAGATATAATTCCGGTTAGGTGCAACTTTATATCTAAAGTTGCAACTACAGATAGATAGTAATTTTAGATACGACAAAGGCACGAGAAATGATCATATGGAAATAATGTGTGATGAGTTATCAACATATCATTCTAATAAAAGTGTGCGTTTTTATAAGCTTTCTTATTATAAACGAATTTTCATAGTAATAACGGCTATCGTTGGCCAGAGTTACCACTGGAGCTGACTGCGCAGATATGTGCTTGGCTCTGATCCCGTCAGGGTGATCATGAGCGGACAATTTACGTAATATAAAAAGGTGGCGTAGATGCATAAAATGAGGCGCGGATAAGGGGTTATGCATGGCGTCAATACTGTTGACCTGCATAATCATCTCCATTGCATTGGCTTCACACCCCTCGCATCCACGCATTTTAATTATCAGCTCTTCAAATCAGTCGTAAACCATTATTAATTTAATACAGTCGGTTTTATCATAATTTCGACCAGATAATTTAGTATGAAATTTTGAGAAATAAACATTCTTAATATTTTATAAATAATAACTTTAAAAATTATCATACCCCGGGCCACCGTTAAGCTATTTGGATAAGTGGAATTTTTTATTAATGATTTTAACCAATGAAAATACTGCCACTATATTTACATACCCAAAGAACTATCGGATCTTGTTTGGGATTATTTCTTGATTCGAAAAACCAAAAAAATAAATTCTTGTTGTTATTAACATTAAAATATCCTGAATACTAATATTCAAAAAATTTAGTATCGAATAATAAAGATTCTAATTTTAAATAAATAAGTCATTAACAAACCTGTTGAACGTTTGGATCACAAAGACGCGGCTGTTTCAAATTTTGAGATGAAGCTAAATGGCATAATAACAATATATTGAGAACAAGAAATATAATTCCAAACTTTGGGTGAGTCATTTTTTCTTATAAGATTGTTTTATTAAAAAAAATTCGTCTTTTTTAAAAAGTGAATTTACCGAATTTGCTGGGTATTTATTTATAATGATAGCTCTAAGTCATTCAATTAATTCAATAATATTTATTGTAGCGTATAATTCCTAATACCCAAAAGTCTGATTCGTTAATCCCGTGAAATTGACCTAATGATCGATATATTAGGAAATGTTAATCAAATTAAATTACTTATGCATAACAATATTAAATAAATAATGATTGCATTTGTGTATTGCTAGTTATAGGTATCACTAGAGGCGTGTGGTATTAATGATAGGAATTAAAAATTAATAGCTAGTCGATTAAAATTTCTATAGTCGACTTAATAAAATATTATATAATCATTTGTCTGATCGGTCTGATTGGCCAATATTGATCAATGCTGATATAGACAATCATTGATAAATGGGCTAATGTATTACATAATATTTTAGTCAGTTGATTAAAAATTTTAGGTAATTTAGATTTTGTTGGACCTTTTTCGGATTATCCTCCGGATAATACTACTACAAACAATAGGTAACAACAACATTCAACAAATAGTTTACCAATGACGGATAATTATCCGGACCCTATAAAAAAAAAATCTCTTAGAATTGTTCAGAAAATTCTGAAATCATACTATTTTTTGTTCGAAAAATCGACTCCATTTTGAACATTTAAAGTATGTTTATTGAATGAATGCGTTTTTTATACGATTATTTTCAACTTTTGGATAACATTTTTATATATGTGTAATTAATTATAATAAAACCATTATGATTAATTACAGGTTTGATTTTTTTTTTTTAATTCCTTACCGGAGATGCTAGTTGCATTCATTAGCTACAGGTTTTGCTCAGCAGCGCTCATATCAGGCTAGATAACTGCGCGACGGTCAACATTCTGACAAACAGAATCCCGACAGGTCATAGCGCCGATAAAAATTCCAGACAAATCTCGACAACAAAAATTATTAAGTTCATTAAGTTAGGTTAGGGTTAGGCGATTATGTAAATTTGCCCAAGGAAAACTTTTTTGATTTTCGGATTTTTTTGTCGGAATTTTGACTCAAGCCCTGCGACATCATTGCAAAAAGCCAAGAACGAAGAATCTAATAAATAAATATTGGCTAGATAAAATTATCATACGAGAATTGGCGTCTAATTACTCCACCTTTCAACAATTACTTTTAAAAAAATTGTAAAGGTTTGATAGGCCAACGACATAACCAACCAGGTCACCACTTTAACCCTGGCGATAATATTGATAGTAAGGAATTTGCTCACCTGCATATCGTAAAAAAAAAAGATGGATTAATAAAAAATTTCGTAACCGAAATAATAAATTTACGGATCTTAAAATATATATATATAATTTATGTATATATATTTTATATATATATTTGGTGTAATAAATAACATATTTGTATCTTAACGATAGGACGTTTTATTCTAATAAAATTTAATTACAGGCTCATTAATTAAGGAGTTTATCCGAACCTATAGGCTGGGTTTCAGAAATAATGATCAGATACCTATCTTAGAGAAATAAGTGACGCATTTATTTCACATAAGTGACCTATATACTTGTAATTATTTACGTAAATGCTTACCGATAGATATTTGTCAAATAAGTTATAGTTATTGTATGGGTTGTAAAAAATAACTAAATTTGCACGGGGTTACATGGCCGAAGGCAAATTTAATTATTTTATAATCCATATAATAACGCACGGTGTCTGATGTACAATCCCGCAATAAGTAAATGAAAGCACGGGTTGTTACATAAGATCCGTGCTATAATCTTTATTTAATTATCCAATTACTTTCCGACTATGCAGATCCGTGACGAAACTTAAAGAGAATCGACAAGTACGTGCCATGATGAAAAGTTTACATCTCTTTTTTTCAATTTTCTCTCTTTTTTTCAATTTCTTTCCTTTATCAATTTCTTTCTTTCCCAATTTCTAACCTTCCCGATTTCTTCCTTTTTCAATTTCTTCCCATTTCCTAGAAATTTTCTCTTTTTCTTTACCTTTTTTTTTTCAATTTTTTGCCCTAACTCCTTCCTCTCTTATAAAATATTTTAGAATATAAAAATAGAATAGCTACTAAAAAATAAATATTTTTAAAGAGTATTTTTAGAGTTAGAGGTTAGGCTTTGAGATTAGTTTTAGAGTAGATTTAATAATAAACAAGTATAAGCAGATTTTAGAAAGTTAAATAGAAGCTATTATTTTATTTTAATTTAATTTTATTATAATTCAAGACAATTATTACTATAACTTAAACTTTGTAAAGGCTACTCTGTTAAATTTTGTAAAATATAAACTACTTTGCTAGATTTACTACAGGATAAATACTCTTTTAGAAAACTAGGTATTGGAGACTAAAATTTTAGAGTTTTATTTAGCAAATTATTTCTAAAAGATATATTAGAAGAAATATATAACAAAAATTAAGACTAAAAAGCTTAAAATAGATACTTTCTAATTAGATTATAAATATAGTAGCAAGTATAAAATTTTAGAGCAAATTGCTTAAATTAGATAATTAAAAGTTATATGTATAGCTAGTTATATTCTTGTAATATTAATATATATATTACTAGTTTTTTTAACTAGACTAAACTACTTGTATTAATAAAGTGCTAGGAGTCTAAGTAAATTATCTTAAAATTTTAAAAAAAATTATTTATATAAATTATTTAATCAAAACCTTATTTTGAAAACTAAAAAAAAAAAATTATACTAATTATAATAATATTAAAATAATAAAAAATAATTAAAAAGAGTGCAATAATCTAGTATAGTTAGTAGGTTATTACTTTTTTAAGCTTCTTATAATTAAAAATATAAAGTTTAAATCCTACTAATAATTGCTTAAATAATTATTTTGTATTATAGTAACTAATTTTTATTAATTATTTAGATTCTAAAGTTTGTAACTCTAGTTAGACTGATATATTCTGTATACTAAAAGATTTTTATAAGTATTTGTATAATACTAGAGTTATATATACAATAAAATACAAGCTAGTTTAGATAATACAAATTCATAATAAATCTTTTAAAACTATAAAAACTAGTGCATGGCAAAATTAAACAAAAACTTAAGAGTAGAGTAAATAATTTCTATTTTTAATAGTAATTACTTGACTAATATAGTAAAAATTAATTTTTATATTTTTACTATTTAATTTGTCTAGATAATACAAGGATTTGTCTAGATAGTACAATATAAATAATATAGTCATTATTTGATTTTAATTGAATATTATTATAAAAAAAATTTAATAATGTAATTGCTATTAGAAATATAAATTCTTTATCTTATCCTTAATTTACAAGTTTTTGAATTTATCAATTTATAGTAAATACAATTTTTATTTTTAGTAAATATATGAATTTAACAAATATCTAATCTTACTTTAGACTTTATAATAACTTATTATAAAAATTAAAATCAGATTAGAGTAAAAATAAAATTTGTAATTAAAATATAATACTATAAATTAATAGATTCAAAAACTTAAAAATCAAGTTTTTGTTTGATTTTGCCAAGCATTAATAAAAACTAAAAGAAGACTAGAAGATTGAAAACTAATTTAAAAAGTTTTGTATAAAAAAGTAATATAAATTTTTAATAGTAATATAGAAAATCTCAGAATAAAAACAGATACTTAGACCAGAAATAAAAAAGCAAAAAAACTTTTGAAAAAATAAGAGTACAATATATCTTAAGAGAAAAAAGTATAAAATATCTTTAAAAAGAATAGTATACTAATTAGACTACTAAAACATAAGCTAAAAAAAGAATATATACTATAAAAATATATACTAGAGTTATAATAACTATAAACTAAAGATTTAGCAAATTTAATTTTTAGTCTAATAAATTAGAAGCTCTAAAAAAATCTATAAATTAGGAAAAGAGAAGTATATAAAGATGAATAACTTCTAAATATATAAGTTAAACTATAATACAAATTACTAAAATACAAATAATATATATATTTACTTAGATTGGAATCTGCCCAATCTGGAATCTGGCTATCCTATTTCAGAATTGGGATAACCCAATTTAGAATTCTTATATAGACTACCTGAATTGAGAATTCAGTACATATTAGTATACAAATATTATATTAACCCAAGCATATTTAGTTGTTCTATTTTTTTT